GTCTTCTTATAACTAACTAATACGTAACACGTCTCAGCCCTGCAAGTATAGACTGCCAACAAGTCTTACCAAGTTATCACGAAGAAGTCGGTCAGAATTTCAGAACCATTCAAGTTTAGACCAGGCACTCGGACATATGAGGGAGGCCCTTGCTTTATCTTGACCCGTCCTCGATGGGTCGAACCTTTGATAATGTTGGCGGACCCCCCAAGTATTACAATGCATTCCCATTCTGGCCAGCAGAGTCCATTGCTTTGAATGCAGCACTGCAGCGACGTGGAAAGGTTCGCTGTATAATCTCCGTACCACGTCATGCGGCCCAGGATCATGCCATGAGCCTCCGTCAAGGTATGGTACTAGCTCTGGGCATGATTCAAGCGATAGCCGCGCCTTTTCACTTGCCTCTGGAGCGCAGAACGTGGTTTTTGTCGCTGTACGAGAGACAAGCGCACACGAGCTGAAGATTTCGATTGGAGCGGTGACCATGCCACCACAGTTTTCATCCAAGGATTTGGCCACAAGTACGTTTGATCCCCGGTCTATTTATTAATAGCATCGCCACTGTCACATTTTGCCTTGGACACCGTACTATGTACTTCGATATTTCCGACCAGGAGCTGTCGGCCTTGTACCCTTATGCACGATGATGGCAGGATCCTGGCAGCCGAACCACTATATAGACTCGCTCTGAGAAGTGTGGATAGATGATTGGATATTTCCGCCTTTTTTTTTGAATTGACTAAACTGCTAGGTGAGCGTGACGATGTTGCCATCACGTTGTCGAAGGCAAGGGACAAACGGATGAAAGACATACACCACACTGTGGAGATACAGTACTTCCAAGATGTAAGTGCATGGTCGTCCAGGGTGGTCGAGGAGATGAGGTACGGCATCCTATACTAAAGTGGTGATACGACTGAATGTGTAAAGCGTGAGCTAGAAGCAAGCCATCTTCGAGTACTTTCTCAACCATTCTCGTAGAGATACATTGTATACAGGCGTTTGCTGTGGGTAAGTAAAGGTACGGTATACATGTGTCGAGTGATGAAGCGGCGGCAAGGAGGCGACTGGGCTATGACGACTAAGCAGATACGTCACGGGAGATTATTCTCAGCTGCTCGCGGTAATCCTCCGTACCCGTAACGCTGGAACATCTTTTAGCTTCTCTGCCTGAGGCGTCATCATTAAGGCTTCGCCGCCGCCCCAAGATTTTTTTCGCCCCCTCCAGATTGGCTCAGTCATGATCGGTCTAGGATGATGTATGTATTGCAAGATAGTCAGTTATCCTTTGGTGTATTTGACTTACTGAGTAGAAAGGACTCAGAGAAACCCATAGGATAGAAAATCATTTGGATTGTTGATGTTCTTACGAAATCTACTTACTACTCGTATGTACTGTAATCAAGTCAACATAACATCTTGACGAAAGAGATAGACAAGCAGCCAACACCAGCGCAAACTACTACTAACGCAGTGCATTCGTTTGGACTGGAGTCCAGCCCGGAGGCTAACTCACTTATCGGCAGCACAGCCAAAACAAGTTGGAACCCTCCCGCCGCCACCGTGTCCGTTTTTGGCTGGCGTCTGGTACGAATTTTTCTTTTTTTTTTCTTCTTTCTTTTCTTCCTTTTCTTATTTTTTCTGTTTTATTTTATTTTTTTTTCTTACATGGCTGTATTGCTGGTCACCTCTCCTCCCTTCGCTTCGTTAAAATTTACACGTTAAACCTTTTTCCCCCTTCTGGGTCCAGTCGGTTCCCCCAATAAGCAAGCCAACCCGTTCGATGCTAACCGCTGAACAGCCTTGAAGATTCTTACTTGGTAGGCACAAAAAAGTGACAAGAGAGGAAGAATGGTCGAAGGTGGCTGTTTACCTACACACACACACACCTGATAATTGTCCAGTAGTTACATGCAGCAAATGTGAAAAGAAGTAGTCAAGCAGTCAACATATGATGATTTTTAATCAATGAATTCGTAGTCATCCTTTCTTTGCCTCTTTTCAAATCTCTTCCCACAAAAAAAAAACTCTCTTCTTCTTCCTTCTTTAACTACTACTTCAAACCAAAAAATACCACCCACATCCCCCCCCCCCCCTCTCTCTCCCTCCGCTGCTAAAATCCAAATCTGGTTTCAATTTTTTCCCTCTCCTCTCCTCTCCTCTCTTCTTACTCCTCCCCCCCCCCTCCTAACATATCTCCACACCGTATCCTCACCAACTCTCCTACCACCTCTCTTCCACCTTTTTTCCTTCTTCTTTTTTTTTGCTACACCGTAATAGAGGTTTAGATCTGGGAGATCGCCTTGTTTTGCACTTTATCAAATTCTCCCTCTAAGGTCTCTCTTTACTCCTTTCTTTCGTCTTTTGACAGTGTGTCACTTGCTGTCTTATTCGGTCTCTTGTGTATTGCCACTCAACAGAGACACGGAATTTTTTATCTGACGTCCTCATTCCTTTCGTCCTGTTCCTATACAGAAAAGAAAGGGAATCCTACATCGGACGCGATTCTGGACAGCAACCTGTAATCGCTGCATCACTTTGATATCTTCGCGAAACAAAAGCATTGAGAATTTTCCTCTTGTACGTCTTACACACCCCCCGGCTACAATTGCGCCACAACTGCAAAACAATCCACTTACGAATTCATCTGTCTCATTCAGCCAGTGAAACACCGCAAATATGGCCGACGGTCTGAAGATGGGAAACCTTTCCCTTAACGAATCTCAGCATGCGCCCGCTGCTCCCGCCAACACGGGTCGCGCTGCCTACATCCCTCCTCACCTTCGTGGACGCCCGATGGGTGCGAACATGGACGGCGCTCCTGCTCCTGCTCCTGCTGCTGCTGCTGCTGCCGCCGCTCCTCCTCCCGGTCCCGCTGCCAACAACTCCTGGGGTAACAGGTATGTGATATCTCCCACCTCCCATAATTCCACTCGTTCTCGGTGGCACGAAATAGGTTGCCTCCTCAGAACTGTCCACAGCCGCTGACTTGGTATGCTTTTGACATGACAGAGGAGGCCCTCGTGGTGGAAACTGGGCTAACGCTAACGCTCCTGACTTCAGCCCTCGCGGTCCCTCCAATGGTAACCCTAACTGGACATCCCAAGACGGTCAACGCCGGCCCTTTAACCCAGATGCTTACGGAAACCCAGGACACGGAGGCTCCTATGGCGGTAGCTCCGGTGGCTCTGCCCGCGGCTCCGGAGATGGCCAGTGGCGCGACGGCAAGCACATCCCCGGCCCTGCCAACCCCCGCTTGGAACGTGAATTGTTCGGTGTTCCCAACGATCCCACCAAGCAGAACACGGGTATCAACTTCGCCAACTACGATGACATCCCCGTCGAGGCCTCTGGCCACGACGTCCCCGAGCCCGTCAACACCTTCACGAACCCTCCTTTGGATGACCACCTGATTGCCAACATCAAGCTGGCCTACTACCAGACCCCTACTCCCGTCCAGAAGTACTCCATCCCCATCGTCATGAACGGCCGCGACTTGATGGCCTGCGCTCAGACTGGTTCCGGAAAGACTGGTGGTTTCCTCTTCCCCATCCTGTCTCAGGCTTTCCAGCACGGTCCCTCGGCGGCTCCCGCCCAGGCCTCAGGTCAGTTCAGCTATGGCCGTCAGCGTAAGGCTTACCCCACCTCCCTCATTCTGGCTCCTACCCGTGAGCTTGTCTCCCAGATCTTCGATGAAGCCCGCAAGTTCGCCTACCGCTCTTGGGTCCGCCCTTGCGTTGTCTACGGTGGTGCCGATATTGGTTCTCAGCTCCGTCAGATCGAGCGTGGGTGTGATCTTCTCGTGGCCACCCCCGGTCGTCTGGTCGATCTGATTGAGCGTGGTCGTATCTCCCTTGTCAACATCAAGTACCTCATTCTTGACGAGGCTGATCGCATGCTGGACATGGGTTTCGAGCCCCAGATCCGCCGTATTGTTGAGGGCGAGGATATGCCTCACGTCAACGATCGTCAGACTCTGATGTTTTCTGCCACTTTCCCCCGTGACATCCAGATGCTGGCCCGTGACTTCTTGAAGGACTACGTCTTCTTGTCCGTTGGTCGTGTTGGTTCTACCTCCGAGAACATCACCCAGAAGGTCGAATATGTTGAGGACCACGACAAGCGCTCCGTCCTGCTCGATATCCTCCACACCCACGGCACCAGCGGTCTCACTCTGATCTTCGTTGAGACCAAGCGTATGGCCGATTCTTTGTCCGACTTCCTGCTCAACCAGCGCTTCCCCGCCACTGCTATCCACGGTGACCGCACCCAGCGTGAGCGTGAGCGTGCCCTGGAGATGTTCCGCTCCGGCCGTTGCCCCATCCTGGTTGCCACTGCCGTTGCTGCTCGTGGTCTTGATATTCCCAACGTTACCCACGTTATCAACTACGATCTGCCCACCGACATTGACGACTATGTCCACCGTATCGGTCGTACTGGTCGTGCTGGTAACACTGGTATCGCTACTGCTTTCTTCAACCGTGGTAACCGTGGTGTCGTCCGTGACTTGATTGATCTTCTCAAGGAAGCTCACCAGGAGGTTCCCTCCTTCCTTGAGAGCATTGCTCGTGAGGGTAGCGGATACGGTGGCCGTGGCGGTCGTGGCGGTCGCGGCCGCGGTGCCAACGCTACCCGTGACATGCGTCGCATGGGCGGCGGTGGCGGTATGGGCGGCGGCGGCTCTTTCGGTGGTAGCGGTGGCAGCTACGGTGCCCCTGGCGGTGGCTACGGCGGTGGTGGCAGCTTCGGCGGTCCCCCCTCCTACGGCGGCGGCGGCGGCGGTGGTGGCTACGGCGGCTACAGCGGCGGTGGTGGCGGCGGTGGTAGCTACGGAAACCCTTCGGGCCCTACCGGACCTTCGTCCTGGTGGTAAATTCGAAGTTGTGATTTCTGACGAGGCTGTCGGGTCTGATTGGCTCCTTTTCTCTTCTTTGTCTGTCCCCAATAACGGACATGATCAGAACGAACCCCGGGCCCACCTTCTACTCTCTTCCTACCTCCCACTCTCTCTCTCTCTCTTCTTCTCGGGCCGGCTTTGTCATGACTGCCACGACTTCCCTCTAGACTTTTTCTTTTCCCTTCTCTCTCTCTTACATGTGACTGTCTGATGTCTTTTTTCTCGCTTGATGTCCCGGTGTTTTCATTTATCCCTTTTATCTACCGCAGAGCATTTTGTTATTTTCCTTGTTTTTAGACATGGGTTTTCGATGCGGTCCGATCTCCTCCTCTCGCTGCTCCTGGTTATGACCTTCTTCTTAGTCGAGAGCATTTGGGTCGGGCATGGATGTCATAGAATGCGTTTGTGTTTCTCCTGTGACCGCTTCCATCAAGATACCCTTTTTGTTCTCGGGCGGCCCTGTGGAGATCTGCTTGAAAAGGCGCGTGCCGAGCGGGTGTGCCGGCTTTTCGTGCTCTGAAAAGTGCTTTTATGAGTTGTTCCCTGCTTGGTGCTAATCAACTGCATCGACCGTGTCTCGCAACATAGATTGTTTTCAGTTTCGGTATCTCATGGCGGATTTCCACATGCCATTTCTTTCCTTCCATCACTGTGATTTGCTATCTACCTCTGTTTCTCTTCCTGGCTGGGTGATTTCCTTCAGTCTGGAATGGTCTGTCCCGGGTTGCGCAACTGGTCTTGTGCCATGGATTTGAGCCAGAGCTTTCTCTCGGAAGCCTGTCCCTCGTTTTTCTTTCCGCGGGCACTGGTGCCTCGGTTATTGCATATCTGGGAATGGTGGTTTACTGGTATCACAGATAGATGGAGCCGATAGAGGTGGTTTCTCTCTGATCTGCTTTTTGCATTGTGTATGGCGTTGGCTTGAGCTACTGTGTGCACCAAATGATTCTCTGCACCGGGGTCCGTGGAGGCTGACACTGGATGGGATCTCCTTGTTTCTGTTTTCATATCTCGGATCCGTGGAGGATACGCTGCTTTAGACGGCGCTACTTTGTGGGGTGTTCATGGTTTCTCAGGTCGGTAGCAATTCGAGGCCAACTCTCTTGTTGAAGTGTCTCATACACAGAAAGCTACTAGCTATTTACTCCTTGCCTGAACAAAAAAAAAGTTTGAGTCATATTCATGTGCCTTGGATTCTCTTCTAAGCCCATGTCGTAGTGATCCTATATCGAGTCAATGAGGAACTGTGGGGTGTTATGGCTATTTTCAGAGTCCATGTGATTCAGCTGGTAACATAACACTCTTGGTAGAATAGTCTCCAGCCGAAGACTTCTTCTGATCTTTGATATAGAATTCAGGATACACCTACAATATCTGGAACTTAGTTAACATCGGAAAGATGAATAATGGGGATCACCGTCATGCATGCATGTCTGACCATATAAATAGTAAGGAGCCGGGATGGGGCAGGGTCTTCTCACCACTGCATATCGAACAATCGATAGAACACTGGATAGACTCATTATCCCGATACTGTTCTATGGTATTGTTACCTGCTGCTGGTAACCAGTGATAATGATTTTATTTTGAGTATGTGAGTGAATAGTTACCTAGTAGTTAGAGTGAATCATTAGTCAGACCCGCGTCTTGTAACTTCCCGGCCGGGGGAGTTAATGAGCCCCCAATCAATTAAGAAGATCACCATCGCGGATCACGTTCCCACGCCATCCTCACCCAGCTTCCTTTTCTCTTTTGTCAACTTACTCACTTCCTCTCAATTCCTCGTATCACTGTCGCCAGTCACCCTTCCTTCTTAATCTGCGCATTTTCCTCTGGCCACCTCCCTTTCTCTAACAATCCTTTCGGCTGCTTTGAAAGTTATAAGTCCTTCATCGAGTCCTTCCTTGAACGTCCGCGTCCATCACTTATCGATCGGTCGTCCCATCCAACCCATTACTCTCGACTCCTTGCTTTTGCACCATCTGCTGTCCACCGTGGTAACACAGGAAACCAAAGCCACATCGATCAATCACGAAAACTCATTACCCACTCCACGGACATAGCTTGACCGGTCCTGTCACTTCCCGATTCGAAGATGGCGGAGGTCGAGAGCAGCGTCGCGGACGAGTCGTTGGCGCAGTCCGAGGCCCCCGACGAACAGCAAACCCATAACATGACAGTCGGCATTAGGCGACAGGCGAATGGTACGATCGGCTCGGTCTATTCGGGAAACAAAATCCGGCACCTAAAGAAGGAGGATGGAATTCCTCTATGGCGCAAGGACATCCAGTATCAGTTTCTCAAGCTTGTCTTCGAGGATACAACCCCGGTCTTCACTCGCTGGCCTGATGGGGTGAAAGGTCTGGACTTTGCCGACATCTACATCGATGCTATGGCGAGAAGCAGCAAGACGAGTAAGATCCTGAAGGATAAATTGCAGAGTGACAAGAAGGCGGCCATCAGCATGGCTATGGTTTGTCTGCTGGTCAATTTTGGACGCATGAACACCACACTCAATTGTAAGTCCTGTCTTCTGCTCTCGTGCACTCTACATGGACAATGATGCTGACATGTTTCCTAGTCTTCCCCGAGATGCGTGCTCAGTTGCGGACCTATCACTCCATTCCTTCTCTGCAAGCGACACAGGACCCTAATGCCTACAAGCAGTTGCAAGATGCTCCTCGTCTCAAGTCGATTCTCAAAGGCGCATCTGAAGATGTTGACCAGCCCAACACGCTGGACAGAATCAAGCGTCAGGCAAAACCCCGCACAAACCCCGTCAATCTGATCTTTGTCCTGGCCCAATATGCCCCCAAGGTGTCGGAAATGCACTTTTTCCCTCCCCGTGACTTCTTTGACCTGGTCATGAGGGGTACACTCAGTAGTCGGAGCAGAGCCAAAGCTTTTCTGTGGTTGATGTGGTGGTATCTGGAAAGTGATTTCTCCGCACAGGCAGCGCTGGACAATCCCTTCGGTCCCGGTCTGGACGGTGAAGGCACCGGAGGTTTGCCTATCAAGGTTCCTCAGTTTGAGAGTCTTACCGAAGAACAGGCAAACGAGGAGAATGTGGATACCCAGTCCGAACTCGACTACGGTGAAGCCAAGCGCTTGGAACGTAAACGTGAGTGTGAATATCCTGCCTTGGTTATCACAAGAATACTAACACCGGTCTACAGGCATTCTGGAAGACGATGAGCCACTACCCAGAGTGCCTAAGCGCTCTAAGAAAGGTATCCAGCACGCTCCTGATTTCCTTCTTTCTGAACTCTTTCTGAACGCCAATTCACTAACCTACATGCCAGGCCTGCCTGATCTCCTCGACGACGAAGCATCAGGAGATCTGTCTGGTGAGCACTTCAATCCATCGATTTCTTCTTCTCGCCCCATTAATCTTCCACGCTATTTAGGTCGCGGTGACGGTCGCTTGTCCGCCATGTCCACCCCTCTGCATCCATCCACCAAGCGCCATCCACTAGATGATGAGGACGACTATCAAACTCCCGGACAGTCTGCGCGCTCCCGGTCCAAGAGGCCCAAAAGAGAGTCTTCTCTCAACCGTTCTCTTGGTCAGCAGCGTCTCATCTTAAGAACCAAGATGGAAAACACACCTGACGCTGCTTCTCCAGCTCCTCCAGGCTCGGGCCACCCGATCTTGAATCGATTTGTTACAGAAACCACCCAGCCCACCTCCGCCCGTCGGCCGCGACCTCTCACTCAACACCAATTGGCTGTCGAGCAGAACCGTCGACAGCGGATTGAATACATTCTAGCTAAGCGCAAGAGCGAAGCGTACCGCGTTTTGCGTGCGAAGCGAGAAAGCGAGATACCTATTGTCCGCTATGGTCGTCGTCTTTCGAATCTCCCGGAAGGCTATGACACAGATGAGGAGGAGAAGGCCTGGGGCAAGGGTGGACTGGTGCCGAAGCCCGACGAGGAAGAAGACTTTGGTGAAAGTGCTAGTTACTTCTTGTCTGTGATCCGCAAGGCCGCCAGACGCTTGGATCGATGGGATTATGACGATGCCAATGGTCCTAGGCGTGATCGCAAGGCCGAACGCGAGGAGCGCCAGAAAGCGAGGGAGATGAGGCTCGCTATGGACAGTTCGGGTGATCTTGCTGGGCGCATCCCATCATCCGCTCGTAGTCGCGCTCGTGCTGCTCGAAATGCCAAGCGCAAACTCGCCAATGCGGCTGCCAGTACCCCATCCGCCAAGGAGCCAGGCGCTGCAAGCTCCTCACGGTCAAAAGCTAACCGCAATCGATCCCAGCGCGATGCCGAAGACGCAGTGGCGTCTACCCCGAACGCGGCCAAGGATGGTCTGGAGACACCTGGTCGTGACCATGAACTCTCCCCAATGCCTGGCTCGACCCACCTGGGCGATGACGATGAAGGTGAGGAAGGACTAGACGACATTGACCGTGAACTTCTCGGCGAGGGGAGCGGAGATGATGACGGCGCTCCGACACCAGCGGCTCGCACGTCTCGACCGACAGAACCAGGCTATGAGGATAGTTTTATGGAGGCAGGCGATGCAGATGAGGATGCGGAGGGTCTCTCATCCGATGACAATGACGACGAAGAAGTTGATGACGAAGATCTCGATGAAGGAGAAGCGGAGGTGGACGCTGACGAGAACTCTTCCACGCTCGAAGGTGGCAATGGGTATGCTGCCAGCGAGACCTCTTCGGTGGCCGGCGCGGAGGGCGACACAGTTCTAGCGGATGATAAAGACGAGACTATGACTGATCTCTGATCATTTTCCTACGGATTTTGTTGGGGCTTTGAGCTTTCCAAGCGCCTGGCCTCCATAAAATCACTTCGGGTGTGCATCTGTTGCGATTGAAGGTTCTCTAGTGCATATTCGACCCTTGCTCTTTACCTGCTCCATCAAGCCTGAGTCCCTCTTTTCGCTTTTTCTCCCTTGTGTCTTGTTTTCCAGTGTACGATTATCTCCAACAGGTTAACTATGTTTCTACTTCAATTCCACATGTATTGTCCTTCTAGTTTCCCTGTCATCAATGCTACATACCCCCCCTTCGGGATAGGTTGAAGCTTCTTGTATGGTGTAGATCAGGGAGCATTCTTGAAAAGCATGCGCTCGCTCTCTGCTGTGCTCTTATCGGAGTTGCCCCGGACGTAGCGTGACGGGGAGGGACGAGGGTGCAGGTATACTGCGGGGAAAGAGGTGGGGTCAACCTTCAATTCTCTTCCCTCTTCCCCCCTGGTGGAATTTGTACCGTCGAAAGTCGGAATGGCTCTCGGATTTGGGGGGTTGTTGCATGGGGCTAGTTTAGCAACACCTGCACCCTAACGACATCGGGACGAGCACGTTGACACATGTTATGGGGACTGTAGGCGGGGACGCAAGGAGGCAAAGACCCTAGGTTGGGGTTCTGTGCCTGACAGTTTTCAAAGAACACGCCGTCGTCATCACATGCTCGCTTAATATGTTGTGTATCCTACCTAGGATGCTATCCTGTGTGTCTGATAGTAAGATAGTAAGATGGTTACTGAGGACCAATATCTGTTGGTTCTGCAATTTGCATTGCACTTGCATTGGAAAGAATTGGTGAGTTAGTTAGGTACTGGTGAGAACTCGGGTTCTGAAATGTTGTTGGGAAGATTCCCTCCTTCATGATTAGTTAGTTAGTTAGGCATGAGTAAGACAGTCAGTCAGTCAATTTGCATGTGATTATTGCGGGTGGGCTTCCTTCCCCTCTGTCGGGGCGGTGGATTTGGGTGGGTTTTGGTGGATTCGGTGGATTTTCCTCCTTGAGTCTTTCTTTCCCTTCCACTTCCCCCCGAGCCCCAACATTCCTGAGTTCGGGTGAAGTGAGTTTTTGCTTGTTTGCTTCCCGACTGAATAACAGTGAGTGAGTGGTAACTTGTAAGTTAACAGGGACGGTACCTTACCTCCTACTCAGGGCTAAGTTACTTACTCCTACTTCTTGCTTCCTACCTCCTCCTCCTCCTCCTCCTCCTCCTCC